CACACATGAAGTTTAAAAATTGCCCTAATTGTATACTGGAACATCAAAATACAAAAATTCGCCTCTGTCATTTATGTAAAAGCATGTGTTCTATTAGAGCAAATTTGGTATTTTTACGATAGTCCCCTGTCATTTATTTATTGAAGCGTATGTGCTAATTCCATAATCACCCTTGTTGACAGTAAACTTGTCTTACAGACTTGTATGTGCTGATGTTAATATAATCAGTCATAATGAAATTAGTACAAAAATAAATACAATGTGAAATTGAATTGCCGGTCCTTTTATTGGAATAATTAGTGTTTCTGGGAAAAACATAGTGAACGTACATCGATCACTGACAAGGATTTGATTAATGTCATGTCATTATCAGATGTTAACAAAATCTACTTGTCATGTCTCAAGGCAGCTGGCAGTCTTCATCACTCTGGTTGGTGAGTGTTGTCTTCATCACTCTGGTTGGCAAGTATTGTCTTCATCACTCTGGTTACCAGGTGTTGTCTTCATCACTCTGGTTGGCGAGTGTTGTCTTCATCACTCTGGTTGGCAAGTGTTGTCTTCATCACTCTGGTTGGCAAGTGTTGTCTTCATCACTCTGGTTGCCAGGTGTTGTCTTCATCACTCTGGTTGGCAAGTGTTGTCTTCATCACTCTGGTTGGCAAGTGTTGTCTTCATCACTCTGGTGTTGTCTTCATGACTTTGGTTGCCAGGTGTTGTCTTCATCACTCTGGTTGGCAAGTGTTGTCTTCATCACTCTGGTTGGCGAGTGTTATCTTCATCACTCTGGTGTTGTCTTCATCACTCTGGTTGCCAGGTGTTGTCTTCATCACTCTGGTTGGCAAGTGTTGTCTTCATCACTCTGGTTGGCAAGTGTTGTCTTCATCACTCTGGTTGGCGAGTGTTGTTTTCATCACTCTGGTTGGCGAGTGTTGTCTTCATCACTGTGGTTGCTGGATGTTGTCTTCATCACTCTGGTTGCCGGGTGTTGTCTTCATCACTCTGGTTGGCAAGTGTTGTTTTCATCACTCTGGTTGGCAAGTGTTGTCTTCATCACTCTGGTTGGCGAGTGTTGTCTTCATCACTCTGGTTGGCGAGTGTTGTCTTCATCACTCTGGTTGGCGAGTGTTGTCTTCATCACTCTGGTTGCTGGGTGTTGTCTTCATCACTCTGGTTGCTGGGTGTTGTCTTCATCACTCTGGTTGGCAGATATAGTCTTCATCACTCTGGTTGGCAGGGGCAGTCTTCATCACTCTGTTTGGCAGGTACAGTCTTCGTCACTCTGGTTGCTAGGTACGGTTATCGTCACTCTAGTTGCCGGGTATTGTCTTTATCGCTCTGGTTGGCAGGTGCAGTCTTCATCACTCTGGTTGGTGGGTGCAGTCTTCGTCACTCCGGTTGCTAGGTACGGTTATCGTCACTCTGGTTGCCGTGTATTGTCTTCATCGCTCTGGTTGGCAGGTGCAGTCTTCATCACTCTGGTTGGTGGGTGCAGTCTTCATCACTCTGGTTGGTAGGTGTTGTCTTCATCACTCTGGTTGCTGGGTGCAGTCTTCGTTACTCTGGCTGGTGGGTGCAGTCTTCGTCATTCTAGTTGGCAGGTACAGTCTTCCTCACCCTAATTGGCAAGTGTTGTCTTCGTCACTCAGGTTGGTGGGTGTTGTTCATCATCACTGTGATTGACGGGTGCTGCATTTGTTGGAAAAAGCATTATGGATGGATGCTGCTAACTCGTAGTGCAGTCTTCATCACTCTGGTTGGTGGGTGCAGTCTTCATCACTCTGGTTGCTGGGTGCAGTCTTTGTTACTCTGGCTGGTGGATGTAGTCTTCATCACTCTGGCTGGTGGGTGCAGTCTTCATCACTCTGTTTGCTGGGTGTT